TGGCTAACTCGTAATGTTCGTGGACGATATGAATGCAACTTGGATTACAAAGGAAATGTTAGAGATGCAATTCTAAGTCTAATCTTCCAGGATTTACAAAGTTGTCATAACTAGCTCTAGGATCCGGGAAAGCTTTAGCAAACTCTAGTTTGTCTAAAAGCTCGTCAACAAAGAAAGAAGAAATAAAAAGTTTCCTCTGACTAAAAACCATGAAGTTCTGCCTCACAGCATCGTCTAGAAATTTGAGTAGGTTATTGAAATAACCGTCAATGTTCAAGAGACCAATGAGTCTATTGTGTAACCCTTTAGAAGCCCATGAGATCAAGGTGAACAAACCTTCCATAGTGTCAACTCCTCCGGGAAGAATGATGAAAGCTTCCATGGCATGATTCATCTCAAAATATTTGTAGTAATTGATGGAAACTGTGTGCTCTACGCCGTATGTAGGTCCGTAGACCCGTCGTGTTGCTATGTACCCAGGAATGAAACCTCTAACGAGACCACCATTGGTAAAGACTGTTGAAGCAACAGCTCCTTGTAGGCCAACATTGCCTCCTCCATAAGCAAGACTAATTCTTCGTCTTATCAATTCTCTTCCTAAATCTACTGCAGTAGCCATAAACTTTGGATTTCTACCAAGAGAATGACTACCAAGAAGACCAACGAATCTTATGGTGTAAGGAAGTGTTCGAGAAGTTCCTTCCATAATGTGAGAATGTGAGATACTCTTCCCATGATCATTATATATATAGTCTCTGGAACCTGACCATTGATGGAAAAGTAATTATCACCAGCCAAAATACGTACAGAAAAATGATTTCGCTTCAACTATCTACAGACAAAATTTTACTCATCAATACTGTAGTCTACTGACAATGTGACATATTGAGACCAATGAATAGTTAGATTCGCTGTCCTGAAATACGATCAAATCCGAGACGAAAAGTCAAAACGACTATTTCCTAGGACAATGACTCCTTGAGTAACTTCCAAAGAGTGAAACATTGAATAAAGAAAATCTACGATTGGCAACGATAAGTCGCAAACACTATCTTTGTATCTTGTGACTCACATCCTTGAATGACTCAACTTGTTGTATTAACTACACCCTTGAAATACCTCGCTTGATCAATCTTGAAAAGATTGAATTCCATTCTTTGAAAACCAAAGATGTTCATGATACC